ATATCATATTAAATCAATTATAATCAATTCAATATTATGTTATTATGCTAATTTTACTAATTTTACTAATACTTCTTTATAATAATAAATGAATGAATTGATTTAAAGAAATATATTACTGATTCAATATGATTAAAAACATATTAAACTAATAATTAATATGAAATAAGAAGTAATAAAATTTGTTCTATTTTACTATGCATCTTATACAAAAATTATTAAATCAACTTATTTTATCATCGCAACTGTTATTTAATAACAAAAAAAAGTAAACAATTGCTTAATATTTCTGTATTGAAATTTGTTATGATATGAAATGACTAAGCCTTTTAAATCATTGTTATGAAACAAGAGGAAGCAATAGAATATCAAATTTAAGTATCTTTCATAGTAGACAACAGTATATTTTAATGTCATTTATCTATTTGTAGTCTCCCTGCAATGCGTGTCCTGTTTACAAAAAAGGAATTAGGAGTGACACTCCTAATCTTTAATGAATCTTTTCTAAGTTTGAAAGACATCAAATTATTTATTAAATATTGCATTATAATTTTCAAAATTAATTACAAATATTACTATAGTAAATAAATATATTTTGTATAAGAATTATATTCAGAAGAATAATATAACAACAAATTGGAAAGTAATATATGATTATTATTTTTTATTTAAAAAATTTTTTAGGATTCTAAATATTAAAGGAAAAATGATATAAAACAAAACAAATTTTGAGTTGTAAAATAAAGTTTTTTTTTATATCATATAGTTACTATTGTGTAATATATAATAATTAAAAATCCCCACTTACATATTATATTATATACATATACTTACATATACATCATATTATATATAAAATAAATATATACATGTGTTGGATGTGTTAAACAAAATCTAATATTCAAAAATATATTTTTAATATTTTTATTATTGTATGTATCATGTAAGTACAGTATTGCTTATCATTAACAATTAAAATAACTAACCACATTTAAAAAAATGAATAAGTTATCACTTTATAAGTTTATACAAGTCAGTAATTAATGTTTTATAGATTTTTTAAGACATTGAACAGATTAACGAAAACCCTTAATATGTACATATTTAAATTGTCTGATAATATTTTAGTATTTTCATCACACAGATATTTAACCTTTCACTTTATTTTAGAAAATCTTATGAAACTGAAAAATATTTTTATAATATGAAAAGGATGCTATAAAATATTTAATGTAGGATTCCAATTATCAAAGGTTACACGGACCATGCAAAGGTACTTCAGATAACCATAAACTAAAATAATGTGGAATGTTTGATAAACTAACACTTATTAAATAAACTTGATTTGGATCCATTAATGTATGCAATACACTCTACTTTTAGATTAGGACTACTTAATGAATATAATAATTTTTAAGTAAAAGCATTTTATTGCATAGCATTTTAATTACAATTTACTTAGTAGTAAAAACTCACTGTGTTTGGCGTTATTGCTCGTTTTTTCCCGTTTATTCACGCCAAACACAGTGAGTTTTTACTACTAATTATTGTTACTTGGCGTGAATAGCATACTAGTCTATATTACAATTTACATTTATTAAAGTAATGATTCTATTAACAATTGGCTATAATTACAATTAAAAACTCATTAATATTCTTAAAGTTCATACTGTTTTGAAGATGTCACCACAAAAAAATTCTTTTAAAACTTCTAGTCCTTTTTGAAAATACATATACCATACTACATTCTCTTTACTGACAATGTACTCTTTCACAATTTATCTCAGATAATATGAAACCTCAGTTAAATGATAATTCTTGGTTTACTAGAATTATATATTTTAAAATTTAATATTTACAAAAATAGAATTAAAATTTANTTTATATAGGTAATATATGAATTACTATCATTTAATTGATAGCTTATAAAGAATAAGCATAGAAAAGAATGCTTATAAAAATATTTTCCAAAACTTTTCTCACCTCACCTAATACACAGCTTACACAATTTTTCAAATAGTTTCTCAAAAGTATAGAATTATTAATACATCATCACTGGTTCTATCATCATCATCATCATCATTCATAGTTGCTATTTGCAATATTTCTCAATATATAATTTGAGATATGTTACAAAATAATAACTATAAATGATAATGATTAAAAGATTACTGAAATAAACACCACTATATTATTTACATTAAATAAGAAGTTTAAAAAAATTATATAATAAAAATTCAATAAATTATTTTGTAAAAGATAAACATGGACATGATCTGTCATACATGTAAAAAAAAATAAAAAATTTCAAATGAAAATAATTACATATATGAATATTAAACAGTTAAAAGAATCAAATTTTTAGGATTAGATTTCAGTTAGTTAAGTTAAATCTAACTATATCCTGTTATCCTATCAAACATGTTACATGATAATACAAGTAAACATTTTTTAGTTATGAAATATTTTTTAATTTTTTGTTAACAAGTAAATAGTAACATAACTGCTTATACTGATGATAAATATTTATCACCAATATAAGCAGTTTAAGAGAAAATATCAAAGATTTTTCACAAGATTACTCATTTGAATATTTTTCAAATAATTGAAAAACAGTAAATCCTAAATATAGATGATAAAAAGAAAAAAGCCCAGACTGAAAAATACTTCTAGCCATAAGTGTTAACCACATTCCTGTTTTGGCTTAATGTGGAATGCTCTAATCATCTAACATATCTTAAAGCACTTGCTATGATAAAGGAAAAAAAAAATGTTTTTCTATCTAAGTTTTTTTTGTTTTGCTAAGATAAGAATTTTGACATATCTCTCTTTCAAATGTGAGCTACTGCATTCTTTTGCATAAATAAATAAATAAAATATTTGATTTATACATAAAGTTTTATATAGTGTTTTTATATTAAAGTCAACTACCTTTTTACTCTGTTGCATAGAATTTTTTTTTTTTTCAATTGTAGTTTTCAATTTATTAATAACTAAATGAAATAAAACTAAAATAATAAAATACATTTTAAAATACAAAGATTTAAACATATAATTTCAAAAACAAGAATAACTAAATTACATGCAAATTGCAAAACAACATCTTCACAAGATCAATAAAAAATAAAATGCATGCAGTTAGTTAAAGAAAAAAAAACAGCATGCTTTAAAAATATGTATTTGAATAATTGAAGATGTGACTCTTTCAATTGTCAATTTTGTTTACTTTTGGATTTGTTTTACTTAAAAAACCTGATTACTGTTTTATATAAATCTGATTATGTATAATCTATTCATTATTAGGTATTTCATAACCATTTGTCTGTACTTCAGTTTAAAATTGTAACCATTCTATGACCATTTTGTGAATGAGTGTGTTATTTCAGCCTTGTGTCTATTGGATTTGCTGCTCATTGTCATTACAATGACAATGATTTAGTAACTCTTCTTGTTTCTTGATAATTTCTACAGCTTGTGTTTCCCCAATCTTGAACACTTCTTTAATTTTCTCATTTGTGATATTCAACAATTTCCATCTTCTCTCTTATGTTAATGATTTGTGTGAAGTAATGTCAACACTTGCAGCATTCTGTCTTCACCAGATTAATAACAGACAAAGATGTAGAAATTACAACTATCAACTTATATAGTAATTTTAATCCATCAAAAGCATATGAGAATGTGAACAGAGAAAGAAGGTGAAGAGTGCAAAATGATAGGAATGACAACTGTGAATCCGGAATGAATGTCCATAGAACTATTTTTGACGAACTTCACCAATGTGTTAGTGCATTGAAAAATTGCTTTTTCTAATTATGGTCATAAGGTGCATGTACAGTACTGATATGAATAGAGACACATTAAGCAAACATTTCCAATAGCAAGATAGCCAATTTAAAAATTTTACTATCATAAAATTGTGCAGTCAAATCAGTTTTAAGAACTTAACAAAAAATATAATATTGAGTTTTGGAATTAATTTTACTGCAAATGTAGTAACTCCAAACAAGAAAGAATTATTCAGATTCATTCTATTTATTTCAATATAATTCTTAAGTCGATTTATATATTTTCATTTATACTGGCTAATAAAATAGTTCATTAAAATTTTTTCATTAAAAAATAATAAATTTATGACCCATAATTTAAAATTACTCTCTATTTTTCCACTTTTTGTACTATTGAAAAGCCAAATTTGAATCAGCTTAAACATAATAGAATATAAAATGAATATGATTTATCCTTCTGCTTCTATTCAATTTTTTTTTTTTTTTAAATTTCAATATGTAACTGGTTCAGACACTGTTATTGTCTAGGAATTATCACATCCACAGACTCTAAAAATACTAGTCAATAAACAACTTTATTTTACCCAGGTGCATTTCTGAAATTACAATATTTTCCTCCTCTGTGGGTTTCCTTTCATACAAGCTAAACAAGACACAAACATTTATACTAATTTCCACAGCAATATCATTTTTTCCTGTGTTCTTTTCCTTAACCATACATATTATCCACAGTCCTTGCTGTCGGTATCTTCATTCACCAACTCTCCTCAATGTTGGTGAATGAGGTGAAAAATAACAAATGAAGGTACAGGTTAGTAAAAAATGATTACAATATTGAAAAAATGTTTGTGCCTTGTTTAACTTGTATGAAAGAAAGCCCACTGAGGAAGGAAATATTGTAATTTCTGAAATGTATCTGGATAAAATAAAGTTGTTGATTGACCAGTATTTTTAGAGTCTATGGATATGATAATTACTAGAAAATAATGGTGTCTGAACCAGTTACATACTGAAATGAAATGAATATTTTTATTTCAAAAATTCAAGAGTAAAGTATAAAAAATAATATATACATATAAAGATAAATTATTAACTAGGAAATAATATTAATTTATTACATAGTTATTACTTTTAAAGATAATAAATTATTTTTTACATTATTTTTAAATGCTGCATGTTCATGCCAAAAGTTAAATATATCCTCATACTAACCTTATAAAATTGATCTCTTATTTCTTCTTCGATAGTAGTCATTTGATTCCTAAATTCTGGTGAAAGAAAAATATATGAATCTCACAAATATATAAAATTCATAAATAAAATTATTTTATTCAAATTAACTATTTAGATTCAAAAACATAATTGATAACTAAAAAATAATTTCAAATGAATAATACATAACATATAAAGGTAGAATATTTAATACAAAACAAACCAATCTAATTATTAAATTTAATGAATGTTGCAATCTACATATACAACCAAAGAGAGCTCATAATCTAAAATGCACTCATTAAATGGAAAAATTAATGTATGAGATAATGTAGCAGTATTCATTGTTTTATACTTGCCACTAAAAATAACATCAGAAAATGAATTGGATTTTTTCCAACCTAAAATATATTAATTAAAAACGAGCTATAAATGTTTGAGAGGTAGATTCAATATCAAAGGTAAGCATCAGTTTTAAATTAAAAAAAGGGCAATAAGCTTTTTTAAATAGTTGTAAAATCATCAGCTTGTAACTATGGGGAATTTAGAATCGAATCCAGACAAAGAACCTGAGTAATTTTTCATGGGGAATCTGTATCAGATTTGTGCCATCTAATGAAAAATGATGGTATCTATCAAAAAATTGAAAATTGAAATATTGATAATATGTGATGTGATATTCAGATGTAGCAATACAGCCAGTTTGCATTGTCCTATAACAATTCCAGTCAGAGATTCATTAGTGGTAGGAGACAGTATCTGCATGTAATATGATTGAAAAAGACAGTACATGTGTCAGCCAATGGAAGGCTGGTTTTCTTGTCATGTAACACATTGGAAAAAAAAAAAAAGGCAGCATTTGTAATACTGTCTTTGTTTTTGCTTGGTCACATGTTTAGTACAGACTGCAAACATGTTTTCATGCTGTTTTGATCATTATAATATGTATAGAAATAGGTAAGTCAATTTTATCTAACACATCATTCATTACTCACAATTTCAGGAACCGTAGTGACATCATCATAAGGACTATAAGTGTTCAAGTGCTTGGAAGTGAATAGCAATGTACAGAGCATCTAGATTTCATTACTATGGTAGTGTTTTCAAAGCACTTTCACAGGATCTGATTTCCTACAAGGCATTTTCACATTACGTCAGATTTTCTTCCAAGTACGCTCAAGATATCGTCTGAATGTTTTCCTATCATGTTTAATCATCTTTAATGAGACATTTGCAGATATAAATATTGCAGGTCAATCAAAGCATTACTATTGCATCCTCTGACATGTGGTCTCAAAGATGAGGACATCTGTGGTGTGTTTTATTACTTTCTTAAATTATAGAGATTGTTTTACTAAAATTGTTATTTAGTTCAACAATTGTTGACCAGAATAAAAATTGAGACCTTGTACTTTATGCTCATGAAATTGGTTAAGTTGTAAGCATAGAGCGATTTGTCAGTAGTCACAAATTCATTGACAGGGCCAGATCATCGCATAGACAAATGAGACAAATGTTTAGGGGCCCAGCCAAACTGTATTTTGAAAAACTAAAATTTATTGTTGTATATTAATAAAACTTTAAGATTTGTTTTAGTTTCTCATATTACAGTATTTAGTTTTGTTTTATTTATTGTTTTATATTTTTTGTGCGCTCTATTTCTTGTGGGAGAGGGAGTGGGCCTGGCAAGAATAAAATGTCTAGGGCCTCAAAGTGGGTTAATCTGGCCCTGTTCATTGCCACTGACAAAATCCATGAGATGATAGAGCAAAAAATGAAATGTACTAAAAATGTGCCTTATTTTTCAGATTTTTAAAATATTTGTGCAACATCAACTAAATCCATGGGTGTTCACACTATGGAAACTGATGATTTCCATTATTTTACCAATCTCATTTGTGCCAAGAATGCATGTAGTGACATACCAAAACTGCCAGATAATGTTGAGTGAAATTTACACAGGAAGGTCCTCTGACATGTCAATATAAAACTGATTTTGACTTAGAATACATGATTGTTTAATCAGATGTCTTGTTGAAGTAGTCATGCAGGGCAACATTTCCTGGGCCCCAAAATACAAGACCAAGAGGGATTTGACCCAACAGTGGCCAAGCAGTTCCATTCCCTGAACACTAGTAGTTTGGTCATGGGTTGGCACCTCGCCAGGCTGGTCACCATGGAACTTTCTGGGTTTTCTCCATGCCTTTAATGCCTAAATAGGGGCTAGTTACCCTTAAAAGACCTCCTAGGCAGATCACACAAGTGTTGCATAACTAACAAAACAAATAGACAAACCAACAAACAAAGAGGAATTCTGAAGAAGAAGTCATCATCACAATATTGGTTTCCAAAATGCCAGAAAACTGAAGATCATTTTGGAAAAATCTATCTGTGCTGATTTGGTCACATCATTATATTAATGCTTGTATTCCAGAAGTTTTTTCTATTTCATAAATGACATAACAATTATATAAACTTTCCTCTGGATTTATGATTTTGTTTCTATTCTGCATTCCTGAATTCTGCAGATACTGTCTTTTTTGTCAAGTACAACAGTAGATATGTAGATATGGAAGAAGGCAATATCTGCAAAAAACTTTATCTTTTCAAGCCTATTTCAATTTTGGTGGTGTACATAAAATTTGACTAATTTCTCATTAGAGTACATACTTAATTTCATCATGGTAGAACTAATGGTAGCCAAACAGCCAACAATTTTCAGTTTTTGCCTTTTTCCCCAAATTGACATCTCTATAAATAATACTTTTTTCCATTTGTTGGCACATATAGTGTACCATTGTGGGTCAGGCAGAATCCATGATGAGCATAGTAGAAAGGCCGTTTTTAGTACCCACAGGGCAGAAAAAAGTCATTTAAAATAATATAATGCATTTATAGTCACTTTTATAACCACTTAAAGGGGATTTTTTGGATGAATAAACTGAAATGTCCTTCGAATCTGATAATCACCTGAATTCAAGAATTACTCAGAAGACGAGTAATTCTCAGATAATATCTGAGAATTATATCTGGTAATTCGGTATATAGTATTTGAAAATTATATCTGGCAATAAGGTACAATTCAAAATCAATCACAGTAACAGGTCACTGTGATAGATTTCAAAGAGTCCAAAATATTGGTGGAGGCTCTGTCACAGATTGTATCTTTACTGAAGAGGGATCCGATCCAAAATGCATTTAAATAAAATAACTGAAAATTAATCATCATCTGAGTAATTCTTGAACTTGGGTGAACATTGGATTTGAAGGATACAACGTTTTGGTTTATTCATCTGAAAAACCCTTTTAAGTGGTTATAAAAGTGAATGAAAAAATACTATTAACTTAGAGAATATTTAAATAATTTTGCAAGATATAAATGAATTTATATCAAAATGTTTTACTGTCATTTTATTTTATAAACATATTTGTTTTTTCTTACCCAATAAAAGCATGACTTCTAACAGAGTAAAGGAATAAAGATTTGTATAGAATTAAATGTAAATAATAAATTATCATTCTGATAGAAACTAAGACAATTGCTTTATCAAATGCATCATAATAATCTGAATAAAAATTTATAATCTTACATGATTTGAGTTTGGAGAATGTTAATATATATAAAAAAAATATTACATGTTACATTTTAACTCTTAAAATCTGAAAATAACTTATTTGTTTTTGAATGATTTCTCTTATAATTTTTCAAAATGACAACTCATATCTGATAAATATAACAGAAATGTTTTAAGTATCTTCTTTTTAAATACCATACAAAGCAACATTTATAACAAAAGATAACTGTCATTCTTATTAATACAATATCATCTTAGCTCTATTACAAACATTTACCATTTTATAATATGAATAACTACTTTTTCTTAAGTGTAAATATTCCTTTATTCAATCCATTCTCATCACTTGCATGTTCAGTAACATGTGAATAGTATATTATATTATTATAATTAATACAAGTCTAATAAAATAATCAAGTACATATAATAAGAAAGTATAAATTTTATAAAGCATTCATAATGAGTAACTAAAGAATGTAAGGTATGCAAAATAATTTATTGAGATGTTTTTGTCCATAATTTTTGACGTAAGCTTTTTAAAATTATTATTTATAATTTGAGAAGTCTAGATTATGAATAATGATGATAAAAACAAAATGAATATAATGGTTTTGAAGTTATAAGTTTGATTCTTTTTGTCTACTTGTGTGACACATACCTGATATATTTAATATTGGTTTTGTTGTTTTTGTATAAAAAACAAGAGAATATTAACTACCATTTTTTAGTAATAAATGATTTCATTTTAAACAACAAGATCAACTAAATTCAGAAGTTTTAAGGAGTCCAGAAATTTATTCATGATATGCAATGCTTTTTGAGATATTTTATATCATCATCATTTATATAATTTTTATCATACTATTAAGTATTATGTAATAATGAAGTCAGATGTAGTGATCTAATCTGATCTCTGCAAGATAATATACAAATCACAATGTTTCTTTGGAAATTTCTCAGAAAAATAAGCTTGCTCAGTTTCCTATTGATTGCTGTTTATTTGAATCAATAATGCTAACTTATAATAGGATGTACAACATACTGTTGTGTATTAACATTACTATATACAGTATTTTCATTGGTAATAATCATGACAACCTTCTTGAGAGTAATGCTGCAAAATTAAGGCAATCACTACATGATGAGGCATCTTCCAAAAACAGATATTTTAAAATATGAAGTGAATATCAGAGATAAAATAATAATAATAATGCATTATTTTAAAATTTTATTACAATATAGTTTTTAGTGGAACTGCTTCTATTTTTATGTCAAATAGATGATGAAAAATAACTTTTTGATTGAAAGAAGCAGTGTTTTTAAATAAATTTAAAAATTATATATATCAATGTCATCGTTTCAATCTGTTTTTGTTGTCAAATTCTATATCTACATTTCTCAAATGAAAAATTTATCTTTAACAAGTAAATTTTGATTATATTTAAAGTCTATAATGTTTTCATTCAAAATAAACACAAAATGGCAAGTAAAAGAAACTTCATTAAATATATGTAGTAATATGTTTTACTGTATTTCCCCGGAATGACCGGCATGCTGGTTTAAGTGAGGCTGTACATTCTCTCTGGAGTGCGCATTAAAAAACGAACATGTTACGTCACATAAAAACCAATGAATTTTTATTCTAAAACCAAAACTGTTAGCATTACATCAAAAACTATGATTATATGTTTAATTTCTTCATTTATCCTCTTTCTAACGACATAAGATACTCTTGGAATTCCAAAAGTATTTCTTTTTAATGTGTATTTTATTGTTATTTGATTCAAAAATGCAAAAATAAACATATTAAATTTAAGAAACTTACAGTAAATTAGGATTAACATTGGCTTTGTGTAAAATTCGAGAGGAAAGTGCTATTTTAAGGTCAGGGTAGATGGTCAGTATAGCCTAAGCTAACTACTACTACTACTACATCAATAAGACATTAATTGTTTTGTCATCTTGTAAATGAAAATTCTTCCTGATCAATGTCTTGATCAACCCTTCCTGATTCAGTCAAATTAAAATGTTGTTATTTTATTGTACTCAGAGGAATATTTTCTTTAATGTTTAATTAACAAACTAGTTTGCTACATCTGATTAATTTTATATTTTGGTCACAGTTTAACTGGCATGCCGGTCACTCCACAAAAATACAATACATAAAATAATATTTAAGTTATTTTTTATGTATTATTTACTGAACTTAATTTAGGGATCACAAATGAATTGGAATATTTTGATTATTAAAATAAAGTAAAAAATCTTGTGATACTAATTGTCTTATGATGACAATTTAAATACATACCACATCAAGCTGAGAACTATATAAACAAAATGTGACAGAATTCTTTTAGATTTCAAATGAATATCTAACAACTGTAAGAAATATTTCTATTATATTTTGTGATTTGTCATTATAAAGCTAAATGTCCATAATTATATAAACAAAGACTAAAGGACACAAGAATTTTATAAATAGCAAATTTCAATTTAAATAGAAATCTTTCTGCTTAAATGCAAAATTATTTTCTGCAATCAATAAACAATTACAAAATTATAAGAAGAATTTTTAAAAAACTGTTTGAAATTGTGCATTTTTATTAGATAATTTCTTAGATTTATCTTAAGCAGCATCTAAAATATGGTGTTTTAATATAATTATATAATAAATAAATATATATATATTAAATTTGCATTTTATTGAACCATTTCCAACACTTTTTGATCACAGTTTACCCCTGTGATCAAAAAGTATCAAATTTTAAAAAGTCTTCAAATTTTTTGTTTGCTTATTAAATAATAATACAGTAGAGCCTCGATTATCCGACCCCCGATTAACCGACACCTCAGTTAACCGACCGTCCTAGTCGGCAAATTTCAAATGTCCGCTAGTGATGTGGCGCTACAATATTTGGCTATGTCTTGGCTACTTTAATATTATTTTTACGTGTTTTAGCTGGCAACACTCATTTGACCATGAAAGGGAGCCAGTATTTAAACGAGGCTTAATTTTCTAATTTTTAACGATACAATAGCGACGATTATTATTTTAAAAAATTTTTGTTAGGCTTAACATCGATGAAAATTCAACGCGAAGTAGGTTAATAGCGATATACTAATATACTAATTACATGGGATATAATAATATACTACACTAATAATGGATTTTTCATACTTTTCGGTTATCCGACTTTTCAATTATCTGACCAACCCCAGTCCCCAATTGGGTCGGATAATTGAGGCTCTACTGTATGTAAAACAATTATTAAAAAAATTTAAATAATATAAACTTAAATCTCAAATAATATTCAAACTGTAAACACTTCTTTGAACAGTTGTGTATAAACAATGTGTTCATCCAAAGAAATAATATTAAAAAATATCTCAGCAGTTTTGAATGCTTTAATCATCTGTATGTCAGGGATCTGCAACATACTGTCCACAGGCACTCAAAATATATTTTTCTAACCAGCATAGTTTCTTTTTACCAACATGTTTTACCATTAACATCTGAACTAATTCAAAGCATACAAACTTCTGTTGTTATTCTGAAATAAAGAAATCTTAACGTAGATCTTTGACTATATCTTTTGTGCCTGGCCCTAGACTCGTCTCTTACAGCTTACATGGCCTTTCTCAGAAACAAACTATGTGAGCTGGATTTTGGATTTCGGTCTTATTTGGACCAAATATATTTTTTGTTTAAGTGTACATTTTTTTAACACGTTCTGTGTAACAGTTGTATACTTTAAATATAAGTAATTTAATTAACAAAAATTAGTTATTATGTATACAAAATATAAAATTTACATTGTGTATTGTATTTATGAATTAATTTTTATCAGAATAATAAAATATACAATTTGAAAACTAAAAGAACATTTTAAAAATCTTCACAATCTACTTAAAATACATTAATAATACAAAATATTCAAAGTCTACTTAATTGGATAACTAATACTTAACAAATACCATGAAAACAAGTCCTGAGTACTTTTGAACATCCCAGTTCATTATTAGAGAAGTCTACTCATTAAAAAATAACCAAACATTACATACTTTTAAATTTAAATCCATTTTAAAATTTGAATTCTGAAGATAAATTTCACTTGCATGGACTTAAAAGTATTCAAGGTTGATTATGTTTTGATTGTAGTCATCATATTATTAGTTCTCTAATGAAACAGATTTTGGATATTGTGCAGAAATTGGAAATTAGTCTTACTTAAATTAACAATATATTGAATCTTTAAGTTTTAATTAAATAAACATATATAATCCTTAAAATTTTATTAATATTACAATCTCAATAACTTTTTACTACATCTGTTATAAGATTTTTTTCATATCAATCTATCCTTTATCTTTATATTTTTCTCAGCATTTTGAAATATTAAATTTTAAATTTGAATTTCATATATTTTATAAATTTATAATTTTTAAAAATATATGACATATATTTATATTTGTATTTAAATTTGAATTTTGTATTTAAATTTTTGCAGAAAAACTGCATGCAAAATCAATGAAAACTGTGTTTACAGATATTATTCTAAATCACAAAATTCTGTCTAGTTTTTATTCTATAATGAAATTCTAATTAATTTTAAAATATAAATCTAAGAAATATTTCTATACTACAAGAAATTTTGAAGTTTTGTTTTGATGATATTATTTTTCTCTTTTTAGTAATTTAGAAAATTAAAGTATGGAATGCATGTCAGCTGTAGTTATCAAATTTCATAAATTGATTTGTCTGGTTACTATCAGCAACCAGAATCAATTAATGGCTATTGTGCATGACATGCCACATTTGCATTTAATATAATTGATGTTACTAACTCTTTCATTCATATATAATATATTTGACAATTTTAAAAAAATGCATTCAAATACACTCCCTGAGTTATTAGAGTAGCAATCTTCTGCTAAAGAAAAACAGTCAAAGTTCCTAACTTGTCAGGATATACAAAATCAAAATGGTAAAAAAGAAAAAAAATGATGATAATAAACGATGCATAAGAAAATATTTTTCTCTTATTGTTTTTGTATATAATCATCAAATTAAGATTTTTAAATACATAATTAATTTTCTTTTATTTTTGCAAATTAAATGTAAGATTATATATAAAAATTTACTTAACAGCAAAATAAAATTGTAATTTTAACTCTGAATTAATTTTCTTAATTGTAATTTTAATCCAAATTTGATATTTTCAACTTTTTTAAAATCAAATATTGACAGCATTAAGCATTAAATAAATTGTTGTCTTTCATGCATGTAAGTTTACAAAATAAACCATTTCATCTTATTTTTCAAATTTCTTTCATAACATTCATATTTTTAAAATTTTATAAAAACTATTTAATTCTGTCTTTTAATTTTCTGAATGTATATAACTCTCTAACAATTTTACATATAAATACTAAATTTAATTCATATACTAAATTAATTTTTATATAGGTAATATATGAATTACTATCATTTAATTGATAGCTTATAAAGAATAAGCATAGAAAAGAATGCTTATAAAAATATTTTCCAAAACTTTTCTCACCTCACCTAATACACAGCTTACACAATTTTTCAAATAGTTTCTCAAAAGTATAGAATTATTAATACATCATCACTGGTTCTATCATCATCATCATCATCATTCATAGTTGCTATTTGCAATATTTCTCAATATATAATTTGAGATATGTTACAAAATAATAACTATAAATGATAATGATTAAAAGATTACTGAAATAAACACCACTATATTATTTACATTAAATAAGAAGTTTAAAAAAATTATATAATAAAAATTCAATAAATTATTTTGTAAAAGATAAACATGGACATGATCTGTCATACATGTAAAAAAAAATAAAAAATTTCAAATGAAAATAATTACATATATGAATATTAAACAGTTAAAAGAATCAAATTTTTAGGATTAGATTTCAGTTAGTTAAGTTAAATCTAACTATATCCTGTTATCCTATCAAACATGTTACATGATAATACAAGTAAACATTTTTTAGTTATGAAATATTTTTTAATTTTTTGTTAACAAGTAAATAGTAACATAACTGCTTATACTGATGATAAATATTTATCACCAATATAAGCAGTTTAAGAGAAAATATCAAAGATTTTTCACAAGATTACTCATTTGAATATTTTTCAAATAATTGAAAAACAGTAAATCCTAAATATAGATGATAAAAAGAAAAAAGCCCAGACTGAAAAATACTTCTAGCCATAAGTGTTAACCACATTCCTGTTTTGGCTTAATGTGGAATGCTCTAATCATCTAACATATCTTAAAGCACTTGCTATGATAAAGGAAAAAAAAAATGTTTTTCTATCTAAGTTTTTTTTGTTTTGCTAAGATAAGAATTTTGACATATCTCTCTTTCAAATGTGAGCTACTGCATTCTTTTGCATAAATAAATAAATAAAATATTTGATTTATACATAAAGTTTTATATAGTGTTTTTATATTAAAGTCAACTACCTTTTTACTCTGTTGCATAGAATTTTTTTTTTTTTCAATTGTAGTTTTCAATTTATTAATATAAAATTCAGTTTTCCTTTATAACTGTAAATCAGCAATTCCATTTTTAATAACATTTGAAAGATTTATATATATATAAAATATATAAATCTAATAAACTTTTTATTCAATTTATAGAACAGTTGAAAATAAACAATAAAGTTCAAAACTATGTAAAATATTCCTGTATATTATATACCAAGAGCATTTTATACAATTGAAGATGAATTAAGATTTGAAAATATTATAATTGGGTTCATAAAATGCGCAATATCTTTTGAAAAAATTTAATCTTTAATAAAAAGAAAATTAAATCTAATTCTTCCAATTAAAAACTATGAATATTTCAAAATATTTTCTATTCTTATCACATGACAATTTAATATTAACATAAAATAAATTTCATTATACCATTAAATATATACAAATTATATTATTTGCTCATTAATATATTTTTCTATGATGAAAATAAATATTTTAATTTACAAAAAGGTTTGGTATTTAAAAAAAAAATGTTTTATAGTCATATTTGTAGAGATTTGTGTTGGGGATGGTGAGTGGCCCCACCCATCATATACATCACTACAGTGTATTTACACACATATCATGATTATTGTACATTTGATTATGTTTATTAGGTTTTGGGGTGAGGATGGGGCACTAAAAACACCATTAAAACGCATTTCCTAAACACTTAGGTAAGCCCTCAAAGTTTCAGCCTTCTACTTTAATTAGAAGTGGAGAAATTTAAATTTCACGATTTGTGAACAGTACAAAAAAAGTTAATTAAAAGTGTTTAACAATTAAAAATACAGTTATATATATTAAAAGAAATTACTTAATATTATAATGATTTGCAGTTTTTAATAGGAGAATTATTAAGTGATTTATTAGTAATTATGGTAAAGTAATTTTAGATGAAATTATAAAATTTATTATCGAACTTTCGTAATAATGATTATTAAAATTTTTATATAATCAAAATAAATTTAAAAAGTTTGTCACATTACAATAATATAAAGTTACTTATACAATTTTGGTTAGAGAAAGTAAATGTGAGTACGATAACGCCATCTAGGAATAAAAAAATTAATTTTTCCTTTCGGTTTTTGAAATAATCAAATGTAACTAATTTTCAATATGATATTTAAAATGTGATTATCGTTATATTAAACAAGAAACTCCGCTGATTTTAATAGTTAAAAAAAAAAAATTGTAACTAAGTTCGTTGTCACAACGTAGCATCATTTTCTAAGTTTCAAAAGGGATAAGTTATTTTATTTAATTTTCCAAAAATTTTTAAGGAAAATCGATCTTCAGGATTACAATTTTAGTCAATTTGTTATTCAAATTAAAGAATTTTTTTTTAAAAGTTCTCTCATTGTACGTGAATTAAATATCTAAAAAAATATATTTTCGGAATTGAGTAGCACGTAAAAGATATATAAAAACAAAATTTTTTTTTCAAAATTTATGCAAATGAATTATGCATGCGTATTTTATCCAATACACACACACGACTCATTTTAACATACGTTACAATGCGACGTATACAATTTATAAAGTGCGTAGAAGTTTGTGCAAACAAGTACAAATGCAATTATTACTGAAAAATTCCCGCTTATTTTATAAATGTAATAAGCATTCTATTGAAACATATCTGCTAAAATAGCTAAATAATTGTTAATTAAAACAATAGTAGTGCAGAAAGTAAAGCAAAGAATAGTTTTGTATTGGATAATTATATTTTTGAAAAGTTCTCAATATAACGAAAAATGTTCATTTATTTAATGATTATCGATGATACAATTTTTTAAAGTAATAAAATAATATCGAAACAAATACAGTATATTGATTTATAAGATATACGTCGAATTAACAGAAAAAACTGAAACTAATTTAATTATTCTAAATATATCTTTAGGAAAGTATCAAACTAAATCAGTAAAAAACTGATTTAAAAAATTACTTATGGAGTATAGAGCAACAACAGTCCAACATTTATTATTTTTTTCCCCGCTTATTTTAATGCATATCGAACTATTTTGATGTTTCATATAAATTTTCGCGTGGGAGTATTGATTGATATCGTCAAATATGACGTTAAAGAAATATACGTGCATTATGTATAAAATATTATAAAGTTTATGCACCGTGCGATTATAATTTATTAAGATAATGTTTATATTATTATGAATACTTTCGGGAAGTTAATACGGCCTATAATAAAGTTTCTAAATACTTCCAGGCAGCAAGTTAACATATTAATGTCTTCTATCTGGAAATATCCACAAGCTTTATTACTGTCTGCAAAAAACGAAAAAATGATATGCAATTTATACTGATTAGTTAATACATTTAAATGATCAGACAATTATTAGTCTATACTTTTGTTATTCCAATTAATAGGCAACGAAGGATGCAAACATAAAATAGACAAGTCAAATTAATAATGTAAAGTAGCTCGATCGCTAAAAATGGGGCAGCTTATTGAGATAAAATTCTTTATTATAAATCAATTTAAATCGATAATATATGATATTTTAAAAAAATTTTCAAACTGGAAATTCCATTAATCCTCTTCGTTACAAATCTTTTTAAATTGAAATAATGGGAATTAGTTTGCTAATTCCCATCATTTCAACAACTGATTAATTAACAAATCGCAAAATAAAATAATTGATAAATTATAAATTTAGACCGTTGTACAGTGTTGATTTCAGACATTTTTCTTCAAGGAAACTTTTAAAGGGAAATATTTTTTATTTTTTTATAAAAGACTGGAGGCACCAGGTAATTGCCTTTTTTGGAGGATAATGCGCCACTGGTTCGAGAGATTATGTCGTATCAGGCGCTGTACTATTTGGAAGATTACGTTTTTGTTGGAGTTTTCTTCCGTGCATTACACGCAGGGTATGGGGCCAGGTAGAACGGGCACTCTTTACTTCTTAGCGGCTCCTTTCGAACAAATGAAATACTTAGAATGTTTCTTTATTAATAAAAAGCATTCTTGAAGCATTTAATTTGTTTCAGTGAAAATAACATTAATTTATAGGTGAATCGGAACCACTACGAACGCCTAAGCTTTCTCAGGGATCGGGGAAAAACACCTAGCTCCTTTCTCTTGACGGTCTGAATCTATGCCATTATAACCGTTCTGTAGGCCAATCGTGAAATCTTCAAAATTTCGGGAAGTAGGAGTTTTATATCATTTTCTGAAATTTGTTATTGCCAAAATTTCTTCCAAAGTTTAGAGAATGAACATCACCTCATGACTAGTTTTGGTAATTCACGGATTTAACCTTTAAATCTAGCAAGTAGATTATTGCTTAGGTATTTGTAGAATAACATTATGAATATACAGTGCATGGTCAAAAGACTTTTACATACTTTATAAATACTATTAGAAATAAAACTAGCTAAAAACAGACAGCTCCACTGAGAATATCAACAAGACAAACTTAATTCGTAGAAAAATAAAGATCATAAACTGACAAATTTTAAAATGACTGTGTCAGTCTTCAATTGAAGACTGACACAGTCATTCAATTGAAGACTGACACAAGTGACAATTGAAGACTGACATAGTCATTTTAAAGCACTAAACTGAGCATTTAAAAATTGCGTTTTGTTAATATTTTGTATTATTAAACAGTTAATTTGAAAGCAGTATATAATTTATTGGTATGCTTGTATAGCAAAACAACAGAAATAAACACAATAAATACCTAAAACAGTACTATAAATAATTCTATTAAGTAAATTTGTAAAAGAATTAGATCAGAATTTCTTTCTATTTGATATATTTTTCACTACTCATGTTAAATATTACAAATGAGTTAACGATTATATGAAAAATCACATTCAAACCCAGAAATCTGTAAATTACTTCAGAAGGTCAAAACAGTCAATTTACGTATTATCCTATTTAACAAGCATTTTTGGCATACTGCAGAGAGCAACGTTCTCTAATAACTAGAAACCGAATTTAAACATTTTACAATCACAAAACAGTTTTAAAAAAGTAAGTGGGCCAATATTTGTATGGAAAAAAAACACAGTCACTTACATGACAGTGTTTATCATCTTTCTTCTGACTGTATAAACTTATTTATTGCAAACTCTAGGCTAGCCATTTATATATTTCCTTATTTATTTTATTGACTTTATATATATATATATATATATATATATAGTATATTGCTTATTTTGATACAAAAGTAAAGAACAAACTGAATGAAATGATGTTTTTTGCGAATTAGAGTATTCCCCTTCATCAATGGCCACATATTTGAGTCAACAATTTATTGAATATTCATATTAATGACTCAAAAAGAGGCCCCAAACTAATCTTTTATAAGAAAATATTACCCGAAGAAAAACGTCTGAAGTCAACTCTGTGCATGGGACATGTAATTCAAATTCGCATGGGTCCTATAAAGCTATAACGCGCCACTGCGTGTTGTACATAAAACCGCACTCTAAATAATATACATAGTAAAGAATAGTGTGCAATGTAATGAAAACGGGCGCATTCTTGACCGCAGGCTACAGGCTAGCCCATTTTCACTGAGTTTGCAAGTTAATATCAGATGAGCCCCATTACAGGTCAAGCAGGTCAAACAGTTAAATAGAAAGGCACGTGGTTAAGTTGCGAAAGTATTTCTCTAAAAAGTAATTTATTTTCCGTATAAAAAATACATAGATAAACAAAAATTCAAAATTTCGTTAATTATTTATTAATTAATATCCAGAAAGCGTACACTTTAATGTGGACTTGACGTCATCTCTTCAGGTTTACAATGAACAAATTTAAGGACTGACGTCAAACTGACGTAAAAACCAACACTCACAGGACGTAACGAGCGCGTCTAATAAATTTCGGCCTATCGCCATCTATCGGTCAACTAGCTGGTTAATAACTATTCTTATCAATTCTATTAACTTACTTCATATTTGTATTATTATTACTATTATTATTATTTTATTTCACATAAAATTCTATATCTTACTTCAATAATTCATACTTTATTTTAAACTATCTAAAATTAAAAAAAAAAAAAATCGAATCAAATTATACAGTGACGCCATCTGATGAGAGCATTGTGAGAATGCCGTCGCTAAACTGAAAGTTGTCAGTTTCTTCCGTCGTGTATGACGGTGTGAGAAGTTTACAAGAATCGAGTAGAAGATGCTAGCGGAGCAGTTCTGTCCTATATTATCGTTTCAGTATTTTCTATTATTTTTGGACTTATTGATAAACGCTACGAGCGATTATTTCAAATCTCCTATTGTGACTCAACTGGTTCTCTTTGTAATTCAAGATGTTGGAATTATATTTTGCATTATGATAATATTTCTCATGTTTTTCAATACGTACGTATTTCGAGCTGGCCTATTTAATATTATCTTTGCTCATTTTCGCATGTTATTAATTATTGCTGCTTCTTATTTGATTATATCCATCACTTATCATGCCTGGAGCTTGAGCGAGAGGTGGTTGGAGCCACACAAGTACATCTGGACCAGAGGATTTGTCACGCTCAATCTTTTCCACAAATGTTGTTCGGTTCTCTACTATTATGTGTACAAGAGAACGGCATTGAGAATTGTGGATCCTCGTTTCTATCAGGATGGAAAATGGCTGAGGAAAGAACTCGGGAAGAGATAGTGCAAGTGTTTTGTAATTGGTTCATACATTGTCACTATGAACACATACAATTGTTTAGAACTTCTATACTATGTTGACAGAATTTAGCCTGCTATATGAAAAATATACAGAGATAAGTAGATTACGGGCCTATAGTTTAAATAGATTGTGCCATTATATGAATGAAATGCACATATTTGATATTTAAAATGTCTGCAATATAAAAAAAATTAAGACTATTTTTATACAGTTCATATTTTAATAAATATTTGTTACTGGCCAATTTATGGGCCAATGTCTAAAATTATCAAATGTCATGACTTATTAGTAGAATACTCATTCATTAAATATTTATTAATGCCACCATTAAAAGTTTATAAATTTTTAAATGATTTCTTTTAAATTATTAAATTTATTAGTTGTACTTAGCAAAATAATTGCCATGAAAATAAACAAGCAAATACAGTAAATCTACTTACATAAAATTTCTCTGTATATAATTTTTGTTTAACTATTTTTCATGTTTTTCAATATGTATGTATTTAATTTGCAGTTATGTATTCATTTCTGCATGCAAATTAAGTCAATGACATTTTTTGTCTACCTGTACAAATTGTTTTTCACTTAGCTGCCATTTTATTCAGAAGAAATGATATCAGTTCTTGTGACCAAAATTTAATATACAATAATCTTTTCATTAATAAAATAAAATTTCCATGTGAAACACAATCAGAAATCTATGAAAGAATTTCTACTTTAGAAGTAATTTTCGGAAGCAAGTTTTTTACCAGATGGGGTTAATACAATTATGGGAATGGGAGAAGCAGTGCCTTAACAATAAGAGAGAAATTGGACCTATTTTTGCTGATAATTATTTTAAATGAAATTATACAGTAAAAGAGGACTTATATATATATATATAAAAGTATCAAAATGATATACAGTATATGAATTACATCTATGTTTTATGTAAGTACCTTAAAAAAACTGCAAATAGATTTTGCCTTAGCATATTCTGTATATATAGATACTTAATATAAATTTAAATCTATGAATAAATATGATTTATCAAAATACCATTTTGTTTTTGATGCAACTTTATGCATTGTTTGTCAAAACACTATGCTATTAATAAATTTGAATGTATTTGTTTATTAAGATTTCTCAGTTATGAAAAATTTTGGAATTACAACTTTCCAGAAAAAATTAAATAGTAAAGAGAATTCAAAAATAATAATTATATTTTATACATAAATTATAATTTAGATATGTATAAAAATTTTATAAATATGTACTACTATATCAAGATGTCCCAACCTTTTTTTACCTGCTGACTCCTTTATAAAACAAATTATTACAAAAATCTATTAATTTTTTAAAAATCAACCAATATCACAAACTGGATGTTACAGTACAAATAAAATACCAAAAAAAACCTAAGTCCAATGAAGAACACAGAAATAAATTATTCCAAACATTTTTAGATTCCTGAATCCTATTTCATTAACTTTGTTCTAGGAATATATCAGCAGAACATTCCAAGAATAGCAAAATTTGAATTCCATGGAAGCTCGTCCATGGAATTCAAATTTTTAAATAAGTGTGTCTGATATGCATGGAAAGAGCTTCAATAGAATGAAACTTACAAGAAAAGTTGTAAGTTTGGAACAGATTATTTCTGTTCTTCACTGGATTTATCTTAGGCTTTTTGATGTTTTATTGTGTAATTAACCAATATATAAAATAATTATAACATATAGTATAAGTAAATAATAAGTTTATAAGTTTGGTATAAACAACAATAAATTATGTGGGGACCCAAAAATAACGGGAAAAAAATTGTGTATTTATTTTAACAACTTCATATTTTAATCTCCTTCAAAATACTCTCAATTAGCCTCAGTACACTTGTCCATTTTTTCCATTGTTCAAAACACCTAGAAAATTCCTGTTCCAAAGTATCTCTTAGCACCTCCCTTTGAGTTCCCTCTTCGTTCTGGGGAACAAAAACATTGCAAGGTGTGAGATCACGTGAATAGGGGGTGGAGGAGGAGGATCATACGATTTCTTGTCAAAAATTGCTCAATAATGTGCCCGCTCACACAGCACAGAGAGTGCTCTGTGAACGGGCACATTCTCATGATGAAAAAAATTAATCCCCCATTCACCACAAGACCCTTCTTTTCGTTCTCACAGTATCGTTTTGAGGACTTCAGATAACAATGTCAATTGACTGTCTGGCCTGGACAGACAAATTTGGAATGAACAATTCCTTTCACATCAAAAAAACAGATTAACATAGTTTCCACATTTGACTTCAGTTGACTTGCTTTTTTAAGATGAGGAGATCCTGAAGTTTTCCACTGGCTGGATTTGGTTTCCGGATTGTAACCACAACACCATAATTCATCACTAGTTATCATCTTAGAAAACAAGTCTGGATCATTTCCCAAATGTTCTTTCAAAGTCTGACAAGCTGCCAAGCAATTGCCTTTCTGATCAGCAGTCAACAAGCATGGAACAAACTTTGCAGAAACTTTTCTCATATTAGTTAATTATTGATTGCTTTAATAAATATACTTCTCTTAATTAATTATGAAAAAGAATAGTATGCTTTGCAAATTTTTGGAACCTAACCCTATCTATGTACTACATTCTATACTTTTTTAGCATGGATTCACATAGCACACCAATTTTTGAACCATGTTATACCTGGATATCTGTATTTAAATACTTGTCAATTGGAATGTTCCGATACAATAAAAGTTTTGATACCAGTATCATAAGTGGTTTTAAAGTATCAATACTGGTCAGTATCAGCATCGAGTATTGAAACCAGAAATTTTGCTGGCTGTCACATTGCCTTCCAATTGTTTTTACTGCTGAAAAGTTACTGTACTCATTATAATGAAGGCTGTGAAAGCCCCAGAGCAACAATTTATATTTTGTTGCTTACTCCAGGGAATTGAATCCCAACTATCTGGTTCAGAAGTCAGTGTATCAGTCAGTACTTCAGTTTACATTTGTATGATGTCTTATGCACACAAAAGAAGCCTGAGATCTAGTCCTGTTAATAGACTCTTTGGGTAGTACTATACATGCTGTAGGGATAGATTAGAAATCATTAGTGAAAAGATAAAACATATTTATACTGAAAGTTCTTTATTTGTTCAGATTTTACAAATATCAGTGAAAACAAGTATATAAAAATTATAGCTAATATTAAATATCACTGATGGTCCAAGTTGATTAACAAACAAAAGTATTGCATAATGTTTAACTAAATATTTATTTATAAATATATATATTTTTTTAATACAGGAAAAGTCTTGATAGACATTTGATTTTCACCCACTACTAAAACATATCATAAAAACAAATAACACCCCTTAAAACAAAACAAAGATAAATAAATAAATAGTGAACAGAACACTAAGCATATATAAATTCTGGAAATGAAATTTGACCTAATACATTTATTGATTTTTGGTCATTAATATTTTTACTTTCCTGGTTGTTACATATAACAGAAGGAAAGTATGGCAATTGGAGTCCAAAAATGTAAAAATCTTGGAGGGGTCATTTTTTGACCCCTCCAAGATTTTTACATTTTTGGACTTAGAGACCTTGAAAGGTTGAGAAATGAAAAAAAAAATTTTTGGGATTTTATTTTGTATGTATGAATGTTAGTCTGTGTGCACACCCTGTTTCGTTCACCCTGTTTGAAGCTTAATAACTCCTGTGCTGTTTGCTGAACATTTTTAAAATTTTGCAGGGAGGTTTGTTTATTAGGGAGATTGATACTATTAAGTTTTGGTGATTAAAGGGGTCGTGTGTATCTTGAGTAGGGTCAGACTTAATGATAATTTTACTTGTTATTAGCATTTGAAATTTTTTTATAAAACCCATCCTTCCCTACACTCTAAATTTAACTTTTTACCATTTTATAATAGTTAAAAATATAAAAAGTTTTTATAAAATAAAATATCATAACAGATGGCATCACCTAAATTTTAAATGTTGCCAGGAAAGTTAAGCAATTTGTCGCTGGATTTTTTATGTAAGTTTAACTTAACCGAAAATAGTGTGAAATTCTATTTTGGTTTCCGATTTGACTGCCAAATCCAATTTCAGTCAGATCTTACCTGTCTGTGAAAAAGTAACAATGCTGGATCTGATACCTGAGGAAAAGTATCATTATAGTATCAGTATCAGCAGTATTGGGATGTCCCTACTTGTCAAATGGATAGAACTATAGTAAAATATTCCCCCTCCATTGAGAACTCCATTAGCATCTGAGTAACTATTTGAGAATTATATATTTATTTAAATCTTAAACTTAAACATTTATCCTCAAACCTCAAACTCTAAATTATTTTAATGTAAACTTATGAATTTATATGGCTAATTATTATTATTATTTTTTAAAGAGAGTTTTTAAATAATATTTATGGCATATCTTACAATAGTTTCATTTTAGATAATATAAAATTACCTTGTAGATCTTGATCAAAATCAGGTCGAACCAGAAATTCACCATTATCCACTTGTTCTAAATCAATTGTGCTCTCTATCATTTCACGAAATTTAGTAAAATCTTCATTCAGTTCCTTTAGAAATCATCTGAATTAGTGTATTCTTTTCATTTAAAATAATTAATATATATATATATATATGA